ATACCGATAGATGGGCTCTGAGAGCTCATTGCTACCTACATGACCGGCAGTGAAGCCAAAAGTGACAAGAGAAAAGAAGGAAACAAAAAGGAAAAGTAAATGTCTGAGTTACGGTGCCCTGCGCTGCATCCCTGTCTTCCACGCCCATCTCCTCTCGACTCAAAAATAGTCTTAGCGTAGTCACCTCCCACCCTTTTCATTCTTCGGCAGACTGTAACATCTGCTTGTAGTTAAGAATTGAATGAACTTCTGCTATCCTTTCTCCCCTATCATTTCCCTGGCCCTATGTGGGGCCATTTTCTCATAGATTCTCCAACGTAGCAAAGCAGGTCGGCACTCTGAAAAATGCCAGGGCCTTTTCTCTCGGCCGCAAACGCTTTTCAGATCTTCATGTTCGGGGTTGAAACGTCGATGGTATTCGGCGTAGTCCCTGTGGCCAGTCCTTGCCGCAATGAGACGGTGGTACGCCTATCTTGGTAGAGCCAGTTCCGGGGCTGTTTGTAGCGCATGAAGAGGTCTAGATCTTTATATCGTTCCGGCCAAAACTTCTGCCACCACTCTTCCACGAGTTCTTGATCCCGAATTTTCACTAGTCTCCCTAATGCCGCAAAGGTTAGATTTTGAGATTCTCCACTGAGCAAAGCTGTGGTCAGTGACCAGTTGTTGAGAGATCTCAAGGCTGATTTGGCCAGCTCATTGGCCTCTTCATTGCCTTTAATCCCAACATGACCTGGTATCCAGCGTATTTACACACGCTTGTTTTATCTCGGCAGTGAAAATTTGTCCACCACTGCCTGCAAGGAACTAGGTCTTCCTCTTTCTAGCACCCGAGAAGCCGCTTGATTGTTCAGAAGCATGCGAATCAATAGGTCTTCTCAAACTGTTAGTATAGCCTCCAAGGCTTTTGTGGCGCCTAAAACTTCCGTGTCGAATACTTCTGCCCCGGGAAGTGGACCGGAACCACTCATATCTAGCTTATCTCCTTGGTATACTGCATATCCCCAGGCTAATTTTCCAGGGCCTGACGAAGATCCGTCAGAGAAGCCATAGATTTTCTCAGTTGGCAGGGAAGCTAACCATCGCTTTGTGTTGGAAATATTGCGGAATGAAATGGGCGCAATATTAATGGAACGAAAGTAGAAGTGGACTAGAAGAGTGTTATGTTTGGAATACAGCTAAAAGTGTGGGAAGGGTGCGCTACAAGTACAAGTGTAAGCGAAACAGAGCCTAAGACACAGCATAAACAAGTGTGGCGCCATCTAGGCATAGAAAACCCCCAATAACCTCCTTGCGCCCACGCCATACAGCCACTCATATCTCCAATAGGTAGCCTAAATCGCTACCATATTACTCATTCCCAGCTCTTAAATACACACAAGATCGTGTCGGGAACCCAGACGAAATGGAGGGCCCGTACGTCCACAACACTCCGTGTCTTCATTTCCAACACTTTATGCTTCCAGACCTAGCTTCTTTTTCTCGACTGCATGGGGTCGGTGCTAGGGAGCCGTGTGGAAAGTATAGCTTTCCAGGGCCTTTGGCTATCGGAACTTGACGCACGCTCATTTTCAGGCGTGTCATATACCGTTCTGGTTTTCTCGGTAAGCGATTTCTTTGTCCCGATCTAAGACATAAGCGTCTTATTGTCTCTTTCGAGTCCTCAGCCGCCCGAAGGGCCAGTGGGTGCCAGACATCCATTCTTCGCATACAAGCTGCAGACCGCAGTATCTTTTGCTGGAGAATTATCGATTCCGGGGGTATTCCCGCTTCATGATGGAGAGCGCTATTAGGAGTGATACTCGGATAGCTTTCATTATCGTTTTGTTGTTTTACTTGGTATATGAAATGGGAATGTACACTTGCGCTGGAACAGCTAAGACAGTATGTGGAGAGATGTCTTCATTAATGTGCAGAAGTGAAGTGACTATGATAATTATCATGTTACAGATTGGGGGAAGCTCGTCCCTTATTCCCTAGCTTGTTTCCCTGTAGACCAATCACGTTACCAGTATGCAGCTCACCAAAGTGTGCAACCAACTGAGCAGCCATGCCATTTATCCTATATCAACAACCCATCTCTCATACTGCACACATTCCTACTTGTAATGTCGTTATATAGAGACTGGATCTCCTTCATGTGCCATGATGCCATGCTGCCATAATAACTACCTATGCACAAGCTACTAGATCTACCATACTACATAGCTGAGCATAACATTTGTCCAATAGAGATATGTGCCAGACTACTCTGGTGCCGACTTCTTTCTCTCGCAGTGAGGTTATTCGAGTGGGACCCGGCCACCACGCTTCTGACCTATATTGAGCTGTGCTTAGAACGCATGCATGTACTGCACGAATCAAAGGTCCGGGTGCTGCACCGAGTCGAACTCCGTTTATATGTCGTAAGAAATGGACTAGACGATTAGCCTTTCCAGTCTATTCCTGTACATGCTGCTTGAAGTTCAGCTGGGTATCAAGCCAGATTCCTAGCCACCGGATATGAGGTGACGGTTTGATCCGGCGATCTTTCACCAAGATGGAAAGGTCAGCCGTGATGATTTTCTTTCTAGGCCCTCCTACGGTCACTAGAATTTCCGACTTTGCTGGGTCAAAATCGATCCTGTGTTCTCTTGCGAGAAGTATATAGCAGTCAAGGTTATCATGGGCAGCACAGATAGCATCCTCCGCGGTGTTTCCAATTCTGACAATAGCTACATCATCAGCATAACCAAAACTGCTCGTCAGACCATGATGTTATGGTCTAGGAGTAGCTCAACCCCGATTGGTGGAGAAAAGTGTGCTAAGAATTGGCAAGGGTCATGGGTTCTAATTTTCTGTCGTCTGTCGCACATGTAGGAAAGATAAATCCATCCTTTTCCTACACATTATTCTTCCATATCCATATTGTAGAGAGTAGTTTTAATCAAGTATTTTACTGTTTATTATTTTCATACTTAAATATTAGACAGAATTCTTGGTAAACATACAAGTGTCAGAGTCAGCATTGGTAACCTAGGTAACCTCATATCATAATACATGATCCTCAAAAAGCACAGCTATGTAAAGCGTGAAAAGAAGTGGCGAAAGTGGCGAGCCCTGAGGTACTCCAAGTTCAAGTAGATAAGTCTCACAATGATGAGAAGTCGTCGATTTTAGATATGCACAGCAAACTGAGCCGTTACACTGGCTCCGCTGGTAGATGAAGACTTCTTTTATGCCGGCAGAAGATGCTAATGTATTTAATAGTAGTTCACCTGGACCAGCCTGGCCTGTGCTCAAGCTTAGAGGGGACTGCCAACCATATAAATGTTCAATCTAACTGGAGTCTGATGGTGCAGTAGTACACCATTCGGGCCGTTCTCCTAAGTAGAATCTGGGTAGCTTGAACTCTTATCCAATTTGAGAAAGGAGAAAGCTGGTTCGAATGGAGTAAAATCCACACACCACTCACTCTCGCGGTGATATTGTATTTGTGGGATGGTAAAAGTACACACGGATAACCAGAGGATTTTCACGCTGCTTCCTGTGGTTGGTATGCATGTAAGAAGTTGTACGCCGTAAGGGTTGACTTCGAGTGGTATCTGCAAATGAAATCTGAGTGTGGGTGTTTAAAACGTCAAATTGAGTTGTCCTCCTCAATGTATATTTCTTCCGATTAAAACCTGCATGGGCCTCATGGCGCCAAATCAGGATAATGAATAATTTGTTTATTTTATTATATCCATTAAGCATCACCTGACTTATCTCTGCACTCCATATTTTCAACAAATGATCATATTCCATAATCTCAGATGGACTTCCGTCTCGTCTCGATAACTGCCTCGTTGATGTGAGAAGAGACCTAATTAGGAGATGTTTAACCAAAAATATCATGTGTATTATCCGTGCTTTGTACCAATCCTTTTTCATTACAGTGTAGGTGTTTCTGCATCATGTATAAATCTCTAAAATATTGGGTCCACTCATCATGAAATTGTGGATAACCATCTTCTAATCTCAGCTCCCACTTGTTCACCAGGTGTCGTCAAATATTAGGTCTTACATTGCTTTTCATTACTCCTTAGTCCCGATTACCTTCAGCTAATCCAGCCTACGCCGAACCGCCAAATAAATCTTAATCTATAACTCAAAACTCTCAGCCCATAAAAACTGCCTAGCTCCTTTCGTTTTCCTCTCCATGTGCATGCGACATATCTTACTGACCTCGGGTTCCCATCAGCCAGAAACCTAGAATGAATTTACACTTTTATGCCTTCTGTCAAATTGTTTCGTAACTGCTTGAGATTGGCACGTGAGAAAGTTGGCTGAGATGAGGAAACCACACTCAACGATTCGCGGCTTTTCCATTTTCTTATCGCTAATTTTTGACCTTGACTCAAGTCGTACGTATCTGAACTTCAGACTCCAAGTCGATAATTTCTCCAAAATGTTAAGAGGTAATTAAATGTTAAAATATTTTTTGAGTTAGTCATCGTATATTCAACGCTCTAACTGTGGGTTACATCAAATTCCCTGCGTGTACACTGATTAATTCCTTCAAGATTAGATACTCACACACTGCACCACATTCGCAAATTTTATGAAATTTGACTCACAATTGCACTTGGATAAACGTTATTTAACATATTACAGTCTTCCCAGAAAAGTGCCTCAATCACAGCAAGAGAACCTGCCGGCAACACGATTACATTGACAAAAGGTTACTTCCTAGCTTAAAGTGCGCGCCACAATCGGCCTATGTAGAGATGATCCATGGACTATTCCCGACACCAACCTAGTCGCATTCGTTCCCATACTAGATCGTCCTAGCGAGTTTCTTCAAGTCAATCGAGCCCCACTCTTTGCATGGCGCCCTTACCTCTGCAGCCGCATTGGTTAGAGGTGTTATGGCTTTACAATGTGTACCTCCTTCACAAAGTATTGCTAACTACAGCTTGATCTTGCCAACCTGATAGTTTAGGACTAATTGTCGCTATCATTGTTAGTCTTCGCCTACAAACATGGAGTTTAATTTCTCAACTCCGTTTCCAGAGGGCGTAATTTCCTTCTTGGATACAGATCTCTATAAGCTGACCATGCAATGCGCGGTCCTGACATACTTCCCAGATGTTCAGGTCACCTATACACTCAAGAACAGGACTCCACACATGAAATTATCCAGGACTGCCTTCAACTGGTTGCACACCCAGATCATGAGTTAGATTTCTCAGAAAACCGAGTTTCTCTACTGATACGTAAATAGAGCTTGGAAATATCTCCCTCTCCGCCGATGAGCTCCGATTTCTTCAAACCTACTGTACATACCTGAAAAAGCCGTATCTTGACTTCCTGAAAGATCTACGGCTCAATCCACGGGATCAGATTAGTGCTTCATTCGTTCCAGATGATGAAAGCGATCATGAAAATCCTATTGGCACACTAAACTTAACCGTCAAAGGGTCTTGGATTGATACTATTCTCTATGAAATCCCCTTGTTAGCTCTCACCAGTGAAGCCTATTTTCGGTTTATGGACACAAACTGGACATATGATGGTCAAGAAGATCTTGCCTATTCAAAGGGTATGCGGCTTTTGAAAGCAGGCTGTGTGGTTTCTGAATTCGGCACGAGGCGAAGGCGGGACTATCATACGCAAGCCCTCGTCTTTCGGGGACTAGCTCGAGCTAAGAAAGAAGGTGAAAATTCTGGGCTACCTGGAAAGATAGCAGGTACAAGCAACGTTCACCTAGCCATGCGATTTGGAATTACGCCTATAGGAACCGTGGCACACGAATGGTTTATGGGGGTCGCAGCTATAACTGGTAGCTATGAATCAGCGACATATATTGCCCTCAGCAATTGGGTCAAATGTTTTGGGGACGGTGTCCTAAGCATTGCACTAACTGATACTTTTGGGACACCGACTTTTCTCAAAGCGTTTCGCCTACCTATTCCAGACATAATTCCACAAAAGACCTTTGCGCAAAGTTTCCAAGGCGTGAGGCAAGACTCGGGTGACCCAGAGCAGTTGGTAAGGACTATGAGAGACTTTTATGCTATGGAAGGAATTACTGAGAAAAAGACAATTGTATTTTCTGATTCTTTAAATATCGATTTATGTCTTAAGTATCAGAAGATTGCCGAAGATGCTGGTTTTCAGTGCTCTTTTGGTATCGGCACTTTTTTTACAAACGATTTCGTCGATCAAATTAGTGGAGAGAAGTCAAGCCCCTTAAATATTGTCATTAAACTGAGCTCTGCTGCTGGAAATCCTGCAATCAAGCTCAGTGATAATGCTGGAAAGAATATGGGTGACAAGAATGTGCTAAGTATAGTTAAAAAAGAGTTAGGCTACGTTGAGAGTGAATGGAATTTGGGTGACGAAACTCGTAGATGGGGAGGACCAGCGAATGAAAAACTGGAAGATAAATAGACTTGACCGATACAAATTTGTCTCAAAGCAGAAGGAAGAAAATTTGTGAAGCCTCCTTCGCATTCCGGACCTTGTTGAACTAAAATTTCGGACAAATATCTGGAAAAAGGAGTCGTGAACGACATAGCGATTGTATAGGGTAGCTAAATCAGACTAGCTCATTTGGTAAAATTAATTCTAGTTTCTTTTTTATTTCACAAAGTCCCTTGAGCCAGTATGTGAACAGTAGATTTCACGGCGTGCGCTAAAGACACTGGGGATCGTCGTCTGCAGAAGGTAAGGTATTAATAACTGTTAGGATTATAGTTGCTGACGAAGGATACTTAGATATAATTCGATTGGCGAGGTACCAGGTATTCAAAGGACGTAGAACTACAGGATAGTCGAAAGACACGAAGCCAAGAAGTCGAGTTATCGAGCAAGTGATCAAGGCTGATACCTCAGGGTGAACAGAAGTACGAAGAATGTAACGAATAAGGAAAGACTGAGAATATCGGACTGTGAGAATATAATATTATAATATTATGTAAATGCTAGATTGCGAGATCAAAGATCAAAAGAATGAAAGATTGAGAAGCTGGAGAGCTACTATGTGACAGCTCCAGCTACCTTAAGTCTAACTCGAGACAGTACTTGAACTCAACTATGACTATGGCAAATGTAGTTATGACGCCAGCCCCTTCATCTCTAACGGTCAGAGTTTTCTCGGAAACCTTCCCAGTAAACCTTCCCAGTAAACCTTCCTTAGAACCCCTCGTATCGCCTTTTCCTGAGAACCTTCTCTTTGAAACCTCTTCAAGGATGCCTGGCCATAACAGTAGATCGCACAAAGGGTTGTATGTCAAAAGCCCCAACTCATTCATATTTTATCAGCAAGAATCTACGAAGTTCATCAATCTACACGAATAGTCAGGCTTAATGACTACATTAAATCATAGTTATCCGTTACAAAATCTTTGTCAGCTATAAAAATCAGCTCCAAAAGGGCTGTGCTAGAGAACAAAGACTGAATACCTGTCCGTGGTGTCCCCTACGAATATAGGAATAATCAATTCTCCCAGAACCAAGATTTATCCATACCCCAACGGTCGAACCGTTTTTTCCTGACTGAGATTCGTATCTGTTAAGGTAAATACAGTATGTAGTTGATTAGTAATTAATTATCAGGGATGCTAGACGAGATTTCTCTATGTACAAATGCCAAGACGCTATCTAGCCTCATACAACCTACACTAAAGATTTCATGCTAATTCTTAACAGAATCTAAGATAGCCATGCTGGGCTGATTTTGGTCGGAACTCCCGGAATGCAGAGATTTCTCGATTACATAAATCCCGAAAATGAATATCAAGAACATTCAAGGAGATTTCAGCTCAAGCGTAATATCGCATGCCCCCTCGATACATCCAACAATTATTGAATTCCCTAATTAATGCTGATAAAGGCACAACATGATGAACTCTTCCAACACTTTTGTCGATGGGGAAGTATCGGAGGAAGCCAAACTTGGGTTAATGTTACAGTTTGACCGTTGTTTCAGCTTAGGTGAATACCTGAGAGTATACTTAGGAATGTTTATGATAAGGCAGCGTGGGGAGGTGTAGATGAGGCTGAACAAGACGGCACTACTAATCAGGAGGATAGAGGACAAGAATTATCACCTGTACGCGGTGTCCTCTACGAACCTAGGAGTGAAATATTCCCACAGATCTAAGTTCAGTCAAATTTCGCAATACTGAACAAGTTGGCCCATATGGCAATGATTCAAAATACTCCATCGCGTCAATTTTTCGCTCCCTACGAGTTGGACTCCTACCTAAGTCTCATCAAGTCTACGAGTGCGACCTATTAAATCCATATTCCAATGACCGCGCCACTCGTCCACTATTCTCTGGCCTCAGCCGGCCGCCAAACACTCGCCCACGCCGATATTTATACCCGACGGAGGAAACAAATCGTGGCACACAAATCTGGAAGACAATTCTTTGGGATAGGCGTGAGGGGAATCAGGACAGGTATGCAAGATGATGAAGTGGATGGTTAGAGTCTCGACAGACGTGAAATTTCGAATTTTGGCAAGGAGTTTTTACAAATTGAGCTTTGTGCGTGCCAAGGCTTCGGGGGTTTATTTTTGCATCGGATTTTAATTGCGTATGCAGCTATCTAGCTAGATTACGCCCTCAAGGCTCCGTATTATTTTATTTTATTTTAGCATTTAACGTCCGCGGCGAAACTATCTTCCGATAGTCTCCAAAAACCTCCCTAGGGGCGAAGGACGCGCTGTCGAGCTAAGCCCGCAGCGAAATTTTCTAGCAGTTCTGCACTAATTACAATCCAGTCCAGTATCGCAATCTTATGCAATACTTCGGTCCCTACATTTATTTCCCCAGAGGAGACTACATTCCATTTATGATACTAGAGTATGCCACCGCCCCTTCCTCTGTGCCTAATAGCCAATTTATTGCCTCTTGAGTTCTAAGTTTTCCAGTATATCTTCTTACTGTCGCTCTTTTCAAGCGGCAGAAAAAAAAATGAATAGGGGACTTTGCTCGCCCACAAATGCACGGTGAGTAGCTGGTATGGTTAAATCTCTCATGGTAATTCTCAAAGTCTCCGTGCCCTGAACGGGCCGAAAGAAGGTGGTGGACTCAAGGCTCCGTACATGCCATGAGCAAGGCAGTGTAGGTGCCTGAACATAAAACACCTACACGTGACATGAATGCCAATCTAGTCTTGGCATTACTCAGCAAACACCTACACCACATTTATATAGATCTCGCTGTATTCACCCCTATTACTCCTACCATAGCCAATCTATCTTACATTCCCTAGGCTGCCTCTCTACCATTTTCATACCTCGTGATTAGCTATGATACAATATCAAAGAAAAGCCCAGAAAAGATGACTCAATTTACAAGAAGAGCACTCCTGCCTCGGATTTCAGTTGCGAGTACCGCTGTGAAGTTATGTTGCCTTTTCTATGGCCTGAAGTCAACCCTCATCCGTAAATACCTACCCAGGGAACATCTCAAAAACCTTGGGTTATCCAGATATGCCTTCATCATCCATTAACTTTTCTCTGTGCGAAATGTGATTTTATGCGTCTTCTTCCCAGGTGGAGTAGGTGCCCAGGCTAATCAAACTATACCGGAGAACAACACCAGGAAGCGGATCACGGCGCCTTCCAACGATGGCTTGTATTTATAGTGTCAGCTGCACTCTCACGAGCGAAGTCTTTGCGCGCCAAAGTTCAATTCGTATAACTCTCGCCAAAATTCAAAATCACACGCCCATCGAGATTGTATCCTTCCTTTGCATAATCTTGTGAGCTTGTCCTAATTCCTCTCACGTCCATCTCAAAGAACTTTCTTCCAGTATGTGCGCCACGCTTTGTTTCCTCCGTCGAATGTGAATATCGGCGTGGGCGAGAGTTTGGCGACCGGCTGAGGCCAGAGAATAGTGGACGAGTGGCGCGGTCATTGGAATATGGATTTAATAGGTCGCACTCGTAGACTTGATGAGACTTAGGTAGGAGTCCAACTCGTAGGGAGCGAAAAATTGACGCGATGGAGTATTTTGAATCATTGACATATGGGCCAACTTTTTCAGTTTTGCAAAATTTGACTGAACTTAGATCTATGAGAATATTTCACTCCTAGGTTCGTAGAGGACACCGCGTACATCTGTTTAGTCTTGTCCTCCCAAGACATCGGTTTCGATATGTAGGCCAAACTTTGCACACTGCCATGGTTGGATGATGCGGTGGTACATCGTTTTGGCCGGTCTACCAAGTAGAGTCTGGATAGCTTGGACACATATCCCACTTGAGACAGTAGATCGCTGGTTCAAATCCGGCAAAACACAACCACATTTCTCGCGGCGCTGGTTTACATGGATGACGAAGGCATGCTTGGATAACCAAAGGTTTTGAAACGTCCCTTGGGTGGGTACTTACGGAAGAGGGTTTACTGTTTGTGTGAGCGAACATACCTCATAGTGGTACTTGCGAATGAAACCCAAAGTATGAGTGTCTCTAACGTCAAGAGAGTCATCCAACATGTATACATAACACCGGTCATGTAACATAGCTCTATAGATGAATACACATTAAATGATTTACAAAAAATGTACAAGTATAAGCGGCACATGCCCTAAGCAACAGCATAAACAAGTGTGGCGCCATCTAGCCATAGAAAACCCTCCATAACATCCTTATGCCAACACCATACAGCCGCTCATGTCTCCAATCAGTAGCCCGTAGCGCTACAATACTACCCATTCCAACCGCTTAAATACAGACATGATAGTGTCGTGAAGGAATATGAAGTGAAGAGTCCGTACTTCCACAACACTCTGTGTCTCCATTTCCAACCCTTTGTAACAGTCAAAGCAAAATTGATCGAATCCAATAACTCCATATTGGGTGCTGAAAACACTCCGGGAGCACATCGAATAGCGTCTCCGCCGTGATCATGGGTTAGTCATCAGAAGGGATCCGGCCCCACCATTTGATCTGATCGTATTTAGCCTCATGATAATGGTGATAGGGAATATATTGAGAGATTAATATGATAAAGACGGCAAAAGCGATTGGGAATTCTCATCGAAGTGATGACTTTGTTACTCAGTCTCAGATCTGCAGACTGTACAGTGAGGGCTGGACTTTCGTAGTGAACACCATTATCAGGTCTTGAGAATATTCCCCCCCCCTGATTTGCGGTGCTATGTGCAATAAGACTTTAAATAATAAGTTCTTGAGCACATCGAGAATGCCGGGCCACCATGGGCGTCGGCACGTACATTAGCTTTTATATTGACAAAGCTAGCCGGCAAGTCACAAAACATTTGAAAAATTGATTCCCAGTTTCCGCCTTTTTGGCGCCAAAACGGAACCAATATGACACGTGAAAAACTGAATCTTACAATCCTAGACTTATTGAATAAATTAGATACGAGTCTCGGCTTTTCCATGTACATCGCGAGACACAGTTGATGTTGAA